GACTTAAGTGGTCGCTTGCTGGAGGCAAAGCCACAGCGTGCTTTTAAACTGCCCCCTGAACCAAAAGACGACGTCCCGTTACAACGAATGCGGACGAGAACCCCACCACCCGTCAAGCCAAAGCCACAACATCGCATTGAGCTGCCTTCGACGATGAACATGGAAGGCGCAAACGACTTGAACTTCTTCACCACTCAGCAACAGGGGCCAGTGAAATCACCACCAGTCAAACAAAAGCCGGTACAATTGGCAGCAATTCGAACCTCGACTCCCCCACCAAAGCCGCCTCCACAGCGGGGTCCTCGACAAACACGGCCACAATCGCATGATATGCCTCGCCAGATGTCCATGCACAGACGATTGTCGACGTCGCTCGAATCACAAAATGTACCATCATCCCCTTCATCATTCAAGTCAGCAAAGGAGGAGCAAGAAACGGAAGAGAAACCAAAGCCAGCGTTACCGCCTCCACGACGATCCACAACCCGCGCCGCAACATCTGTACCTGCGCACGCCAAGTCTCAGCTGACGGAACCTATCCCTATCAAGCCCCGCAACCAGAGTCAGAACCCATCCTCCATGCGTCCACCCGATCGATTCTCTCCCACGCGCCGCCCAGTATCTGCCATGGGAGGCTCATCGTCTCCTTCGGTATACCACAACAACTACCAGCGCGAATCTGTCAAGGAGATCACGAAGCACATGACAGGCGAGTCCCTCTCGAACGCAATCATGGGCGCAGCACTAGCTGCAACATCTCGCAACGTCTCGCCTGCGCCCCGATCCATGTCTATCGAACCTCTCTTTCCACCCCCAAAAAAGCACCATCATCACCCTTTCCATCGGTCCCCATCACCCCAAAAACAATCACCCCCAAAGTCTGCGGGCAAGTTACGCACAACAATGCGGAAGGAGCCTTCCTCTTCGGAGGATACAGACGAGGCTGAAAAGTATAAGAAAAAGGGGACACGCATCATGGGTATCAAAGCCCGGAAACACCCCAACAAACATCATGAAGCCACTCGAAAGCGCTGGCGTGATCAAATCACCGAGCGAGAGAGAAAGCGGTACGAGGGCGTTTGGGCAGCGAACAAAGGATTATATCTTCCTGCTGCCCAGGAGCATCCGCCACCAGAAGATGACCCCTCGCTTGATGTACTCAACCTGATAGTGCGGGAGATCTGGGCAAGAAGTCGCCTACCTACAGATGTTTTAGAGGAGGTCTGGAATCTTGTGGATGGAAGAGGCATAGGAAGACTGACGAGGCTTGAGTTTGTGGTAGGGTTGTGGCTTATTGATCAAAGGCTCAAGGGGAGGAAGTTGCCTGTCAAGATTAGCGACAGTGTGTGGCAGAGCGCCAGGGGAATTGGGCTCAAAGTGAAGAATCCAAGGTAGAAAGAATCGCGAAGAGTCGAGACGCTGTTTTTAGTATTGCATTGCATTGCCTGGCGTTTAAGAACCATTCCTTGTCTAGTACGCAAGGACCATCTAGAGATACCCCTAATCATTAATTCTCATTCATGGCATCTTCAGCTGCAGCATCCGAAGCCTCATGGTCCTCTTGTTCCTGATTCTCCATACTAATCAGCCCAATGCTCCTCACAAATCCTGCCATGCTCCAAAACCCTCCAGCAAAGTCGAGGTCATACCAGTAATTCACCGCACAACACACACCCTCTTCGTTACAGCTCTGGCTCACTTTATGATACCACAGCGCAGGCAAATATAATATATCGCCCTCCTCGAGCGTCACGCGCAGTGGCTGCGAATACCGCGAATACGGCGTACAATTCCGAGACGGATCGTCTGGATCCCACGTCGCAAACGGCACATACTCCTCCGGCTCATCAACGCAGACACACAAGTCGGCGCTCTCCAAATCCTGCGAGTGCTCCTTCTTCTCCATCGCTGATGCTCCCGGTCTCGGCGCATATGTCGCCGCCAACACGCTCTTCTCGGCCACGCAGGGTGCCTCGACGGGCGGCAGCAGGACAAAGTGTTTGCGGCCGAGAATCTGGACGTACAGATTTTCGTAGTTGTCCTTGTGCAGGGCTGTGGTGCTGTGGGAGTTTCCGAGCCAGAAGTTGATGGCGTCGGGGTCTTGGGCGAGGGCGATACGGGCAAAGGGGATGGATTGCGGGACATCTGCGAATAGGGTTGCGTATTCGTTGCGCAGATTGTCGTTTTGTGTTTGGGCGTAGCGGGTGGGCTTGTTGGCGTGGACGGTAGGGTCTTGTTCCTGGGTGCGGATGGCGGCGAGGACAGAGGGGAAGGGTTCGCTGGTTTCGTGGGGTTTGACGAAGAGGGATTTTTGGGGGGATTCGTTGTGGGTGGAGGGAAGGGTGATGATGGAATCGGCGTTTCCGTGGGGCGTGATGGCGACGTTGACGTATTGGTTGGCCAGGACGGTGGTGAGGTAGGTGGTGTTCCATTTTTTGCAGGCGGGGAAGGAAGAGGCGCCGCCGCGGATGACGAAGGGGGTGTTGCGGGCGACATGGCGCATGAACTCAAGAGGAGAGGGCTCGGAGTCGAGGATGGTGATTGTGGAGGGGTTGAGATCGTGGTAGGTAATTATCAGATCTGGAGGGTGAGGGCGTTAGGGATGGGCTGGAGGGTGCATTGTGTGCAACTCGAAGATGAGAGAGAAAACTAATGCTTGTGACAGAAAGTAAGAGACATGAGGGTTTAGGAGGATTTGATAGTCAAGGAAAAGAAGTAGAAGCACCTCTTACAGCATCTTGTAATGTCATGTCACCAACTGGTCCTGTCGGTGCTGGCCTTGTGAAGATGTTAGTTTTGATGTGATGGAAATTGGTCGATAAACTTGACCTCAAGGCCGCTTGTTCAGGACTTTTCAATCCAAACACTCCATCATCGACCAACATTTTGTTTTGAATGGCAAGACGTGAAGCTGCGCAAAGTTCACATGAGGTGGTTGTTTCTCTCGCACGGCGTTAAGCCACATTAGCGCACGGAGTTAATTCAAGAGGTCAGAACGTGAAGCTTGCTATTGCGAAAGTAGTCGACGGAACCGACGTAAACGCAACACTCTACCCGCCCCGCAGTGCCTGTATATGATACTCGGTTGCTGTATTGTGGAAGATGTTAGAGCGATAGAACATCACACGTCTTTTTTTCCACGCAATGCCACCGCCGCCATGGACCTTTTTCCGGCGCCTCCCCAAACAGTCCGCTCCAGCCCTCCTCAACCCCAAAGCGTGGGCGCGTACGTGCCCCCTCAATATACGTCTCAGTAACTACAGCTAACAGACTGGCAGGTAATGTGCTCTACGTTGGGGAAACTGTCCTCGTCCTGCATATCTTCTTCTCCTACATTGGCGGCGTCGGCCCGACAGACGGCATCTCCATGATGCCTACCATACCCCACTCCTATCGTGGCTCTCCTTGGATTCTCTACTCGAGCCTGTACCGCCGTGGTCGCAATATAAAAGTTGGCGATGTGATAACATACACGAACCCCATGTTCCCCACACAAAGCGGATGCAAGCGCGTCATTGGCATGCCCGGCGACTTCGTGTCCGTGGTTACGGCTGGGCGAAATGCGGCCGATGCAGAGGCTTTAGATGTAGATAGCAAGTGGGCTAGCGTGAAGGAAGAGGTCATTCGGGTGCCAGAGGGACATTGCTGGGTTGCAGGTGATAATTTGGAATGGAGTAGGGATAGCAGACTATTTGGGCCGCTGCCATTAGGGCTGGTCAAGGCGAAGGTGTTGGCGGTCGTTTTGCCGTTTGGGGAGCGCAAGTGGTTGGGAAGTCAAGTAGATCTCAAAGATCCTTAAGAAGCGGAGAGGGAATCGATTGTATGAAGATGAAATCTATGAGACATGACAAGTATAAGAGTACGAGTGGGCATTTGAAATGTGTTTTGTTGGTTGAGCTCATAAGACATGCACCAAACATAACTATTCAACCTCCATAACGATCTCGTTGGTGGCGAACTTTTTCCCACTCAGCGGACTCTCGATATATGCGTACAAATTCTGCTCTGTCACATCGCTCGCGTCCTTGTCCCAGAGACCCTTGAAGTCGCCCACGGCCTTCACCTTGTACTTTGCAGGCTTCCTTTCTAGCATCCAGGGCTTATCAAACACCACCTCGACCTCTTTCTCCGTCCCAGGCACGAGAGTCACAACTTCTTCTTGCGCCGGTGGCATCTTTCTGTTGATCTGTAGCACAAACTGCTTCACCTCCTCGTCATCCTCCTCGCCAACGATTGAGAATACTCCAGTATTCAATGCCGCCGAGTCCAGCGGTGTGCCCCATTTCAGCAGTGTGTACGGCGTATCTGGGCTGGTGTTCTTGAGCGTAACGAGAATTGTAGGTGGACTACTTGAGGTCTGAGAGAGCCTGAACTCCAGATCTGGAACGTCGCTACTGGTCTTCGACATGCTGAAGTTCAAGGGAGTGGGAGATTGATAAACAAAGTACGTGCCGAGGATAGTGATGGCGATGCCGCTGATAACTGCGTTGCGCTTGTTCCAGAAACTTCCCATGGATGCTTAGTTGGGTTTTGCGAAGGTTCACACTCAGGCTGTAGACAAGTGTATCTTGTGATGAGCAGTTCTAGGCAGCAACGAACGCCAAACCGCTAAGGGAAGGCGATTATGTTCTGTCGTAGGAAGAGGGCTTGGGAGATGAGTTTGCCCTGCTATGCAGAATGACGTGAACCAGTAGTTGAATTGGCAGGATTCATTCAACTCCAAATCAAAGGTCGAAGTACTATAGCAGGTTCAACACAGTACCGGTATGCTAATGACGTTGCAGGCCGCCTAAGACTTTGTCTGGAATGTTGAGCAGTGGAAACAACACCGTTTCGCGCTCCTATCGGCTACCGGTACATACTGCTCAGTGCGGTGTAGGATTAGATCAAGTTGTACGCGGGTGAGGTAGGTCTATAACAGGTTTATTGTCTCCGGCTGTTTTGATGCCACCTGCCTTGGTCGGCTAGAGACACCTTGGAACTGAAACCATTGTGGCGCTAAAATAGATTGGACAACCCCAGGTTGCTTGTCCATTCGTCTGTTTCCCGGAGTAATGGCAGAACGCCTAGACAGACACATCTGCCAAGAATATTATGTATTGAGTTGTGAGGAAGGGTATCTCTAACTTAGCTTTCGCAACTCTACCTACCGGTACCGGTAATTTCGCTCCCCCGCCGTCCTCTGGCGCAATCGGCCTGGACGGGTAAGGATCGCAGCCGATGCAATTCTCCGACAGGCTTCTTTCAACGCCAATTGCCAAGCCATTTTTATTCTGTTTACGACGGCCAGAGTGACTGGTTCAGTGGCTCGTATCTCTCGGGCATTTGCACTCCCCAGGGGGTCCAGAGCGGGATGCAGGATATAGAATGTAAGCATCTGCTGTCTGCTTTCATCCCACTGGATGCCAGCACATAAGATTCAAGCATCGCAGATAAGTCTATCTGTCAGGCAATCAGAGGTTCCCAAGGACGCTGAAAATATGAGCAAGAATTAGAAGTGGCGATTCGAACAAATCACATCGAATAGACATACACTGTGTGCACAACAAGCATGGTTCAAACAATTCTATGCTCTTTCCTGTTCCAAAGTATACTTGTATCATTCGGGGATCCGTGGACTTGGCCTGTATCTCTTTTCTTTGTGGTCGTTAGTGCGGGAGTCCTGTCGTCCTTCACCTGCCAAGCCTTTTCACGCCAATGTCCGGGAAGCAATGGCTTATCACGCCTTAATTTACGCCATCGTACTGCTTGCATAAATTGCGAGCAATTACAGATGAAAGGTCATCTGAATGGCCGAGGCTTATCAACTGTCATGCTACAAACATATCCGAGGACCTTCCCTTTCCATTGCAGTGTCCGTCCCCAGCTCGACAACGATGAAGTTATTGCATATTTCTTTGCATCACCTGCCAATCATGGCCCCAATCTGACCCTTCTTATCCAGTATTCGGGACATTTGATGTAGATCTGTCCCGCTCCATCTAACTGCAATCACCCTCAAACGCCAAGGCTGTGCCAATGTGCTACTATGAGCTGCCTAGACCAGTCAAGCCTTGAGAGCAGGCTTAGCTAGCAAAGCAGACATCCTGCCTCTCCAGCGCAGGTTGTACAGCATGAACGTGATGACAAGAAACTCGCCTGAGGCAAGTATAAAGGTAGACATGGAAGACATACCATAACTGAACCTTCATCCTACGATCGTGCGTTCTTTGGCTGGCCTTGAGTTACCTACGATCCAGGCGTTTGCTGTCTCTCACAAAGTATATTTTCAAAATGAAGATTACTTCTCAACTTCTCATCGCCGCTTTGGCTTCCTATTCCGCCGGTGCTTCAGTCGATGTCAACAAACGTGAGACTTCCCTGACTGTGGAGCTCTCTGCCGCTGGCAACTCGGAGGTCAAGGTCAAGGTCACCAACACTGGTGCTAAGGCCGTCAACCTTCTCAGCAAGGGTACCTTCCTTGATGAAGAACTGCCTGTTGAGAAGGTTTCTATCTACTCGAAGGGAGGCAGTAAGTTCACCAACATGATAATGAAGTGATGACTCAATACTAACAGGACTATAGGCGAACAGGTCCCATTTGAGGGCATCAAGGTCCGCCTCTTAACCACAGGCCTAAGTAAGGATGACTTTGTCACTCTTGCCGCGGGAGAAACCAAGGAGACCACGATCGAGACAGCAGCACTCCACTCCCTGAACAATGGCGGTGACTTCGAAGTATTTGCCAAGGGTCTTTTGCCCTTTGCCGCGGAGGGCTCCACTAAGCTTTCAGGCTCCCTAAACTACGAGTCTAACAAGCTCACGATGTCTGTGGATGGAGCTTTAGCAGCTACCGTTCGGAAGGCGCTTGACAAACGCACAGTCATCGGCTCGAGTTGTACTGGCTCTAAGCTCACCACTATCCGCACTGCTCTGTCTAATTGCGCCAGACTTGCTTCGTCCGCTGCTTCTGCTGCTTCTGCCGGTACTAAGCTAAACACATACTTCAAGTCTACCACGTCTTCCACCAGGAACACCGTCTCGAATCGGCTTACCGCAGTCTCATCCGACTGTGGTGGGACAGGATCAAAGACCACGACAAATTGCAACGATCCATATGGAGGCTGTTCCTCTAACGTACTTGCGTACACCGTCCCTTCGCAGAATTTCATCACATACTGCCCCCTCTTCTTCAACGAGTTGCCCGCTCTCACTAGCACCTGTCACGGTCAGGATCAAGCGACCACTGTCCTCCACGAGGAGACTCACGCCCCTGGTGTCTATAGCCCGGGTACTGACGACTTGGGCTACGGATACGCTGCTGCCACTGCTTTGTCTACAAGTCAGGCCCTTAACAACGCCGATTCTTTTGCTCTTTATGCCAACGGTAAGCTCGTGACACAGGCAATAAACTTTGCCCATGCTGATGAGAAATTTAGCTATTTACCTCAATTGCTGAATGTTGCTGTGGTTAGAAAAGCGATTTCTTTCTCTCAAGTACAGAAACGTGTTTATAGGGGTAGTGACTGCTGTGAATTACAATGTGCTGTGTCATGAATGTCTTGGTCACGTGTGGCTCCTGAGTGGGGCTTAGCCTCTTGGCTGTGTTTGCCCATAGATAGCTCCCATCCTGCTAGACTAGGACAATATGATAACATTACACACTGCATTGGGCCCTCCTCGTCGTCGGATACTGCACAATGATCATAATTGCAAAGTGTGTAGTTGCCGTAAAGCGAGCAGCTCGCAGTGCCAAATCGATGTTTATATTAGGCTAACGATCAAACCTTGAGATTATCAGTGTACAAGCACTGTATATCTCAGTTTTAAAAAAGTGGGTATGTTGATGAGGTTTGATGGTTCGAATTATACACCGAGCAGATTGAGATATCCTGCAATGGTAGGTAATCAAACGTATGTGTATGGCAGACACAGCTAGAACTGAGCATATGCTATGCGGAGATAATGTCATAGTTCTCAAACCTAGAAATTTTATATTGTAGCAACTATAGATACCGTAAATGTCAGTGACATTTTTAAAACCTTCGACTGCTAGCTACGGGTACCTATTGGCTGTACCATAATTGTGTACTTTTCAACACCATTCCAGCTTCTTACTTTACGACAGCACATTTCAATGAACAAGATTCATAAACCAAGTGTCGTACATATCACACCAAAAATATGGCATTGAGTTGCTGCGCCCCGCTTGGCATGTGTGGGCTGCACCGTGGAACGGGACGCCTGAAAGCGGAGATGACATGGGCGTCAAATTCCATGTAGTCTTCGCAAGCTGTCCGCCGACGCACATTCAAAAGAAAACCTTCAATGGTGATGCCCTGCGTGCCACGTCGTAGCGACGATGAAATCAACACACACGGACTTGATTGCTGTGCGCACGAACTCTGAAGACGATGAGCAAGCGAGCAATGAAATGTTCAGAATGCAAGATTGCGGGGATAAAAAATCCAATATCATCAAACCGCGCCGATGGATGAGCAGACCTTCTACATGGAGTTTTGGACGATCAATGAGGCCCTTTCCATGGCGAACAACTATCATCGTACTCTCCCTTCCCCTCTCTCTGAGTCTCATTGTCACCCTCGCCGCCGCCGCAGAAATGGTATCCCAGCAATACATCCTCGGCCGCAACTGCTACCCAAATGGCATGTGGAAAGAGCAAGCCGGCGCAACATGGCGCATCATGGATTCCTCCTACTTCTTTACGCCCAACCTCAGCTTTGGAACTTTCACCTTCACGCAAGTCAAAGTCGTCGACGTGGCCTGGGATCTCATCATTGGACGAGGCGGACAAATGCTCCTCGCTTGGGTCAATTACCGCGTTTTTAATGAGTGGCTGGTATACCACATTATTACGGTAAAAAATTGTTTACTGTAGAATGGTACGCTAGGGGTTTACTATATAGGTGTAAACTAACCTTGTGTATACCTATAAATAGGTTTAAAGTAGTAGTTTACTTTTTTATAGTATAAATATAGTATAGTTTACTATAGACTTATTAGTAGAGTAAATAAGGTAGTTTATAATAGACCTATTAGTAGAGTATATAAAGTAGTTTATAAAAGATAAAATATAAGTGTTAGGTATAGTAATAATAGTATTAGATTTTTTTTAGTATCCTTATATAAACTACTAGTATATTATTGCCTATCCTATCCCTAGGCCTAACCTGCCTAATTAATAGCCTATACCTGCCTAATTAATAGGCCTAAAACTACCTAATTATTAGCCTATACCTGCGTAATAATTAGCCTATACCTACGTAATTATAAGGCTATCTACTATGTACCTTACTTATTTTTAGAAAACTGCAGTATAATATAAATTAAATAGGTATACAAGTAGTATAACTACATAGTAATTAGTGTAAGTTAGTATATCTAATAATAGTCTAGCGTAATATATAGATAATATACTTACCTAATAAATACTAGTATATTATATAGTAATAGTATTAGTATAAAGAGCCTAGTACTATAAAGCTAGATATAGACCTATTATCTTACTTAACTATAGGTAGTTAGTCTTAGACTATCTAAGTTTATTAATAATATATAGCTTATTACTAGGTTAAAGTTAAGCACTATATCTATAGTAAACTATAGCTACTCCTATAAGGTTAATAATTATTATTATTTAAATCTATTTAATACTATTATTATCTTCTATTATTCTCTAAGGTTAGGCTAGTTAGCCTATAGTAGCAGCAGGTTATATCTATTACTATTAAAGTACTCCTACCTATTTAGAGTTATTAGCTAGATCTTAAAATAGGTGTATTACTATCCTAAAGGAGAGCTAAATATAGTTATTATAATTATTTCTAGCAGCGTAATATATAATAAACATAGTACTCTAAGAGTAGTTACTATCTTTATAATTCCTTAAAACCCTAATAGTATACCTATTTAGAAGTATATAATAGTTATATATAACTATATCCTAGGTGTGTGTCTATATAGTATATACTATAGTTATAATTATAGTATAAGTGTTATCTAGGATATATCCCTAGTGCGTATCTATACTACTATAATAACTTAGGTAGGTAGGGCATCCAAAAGGTATCCTATACGACTTAAAGGCATATAGGAGTGCGCGTCTATATAGAAAAGGATAAGATTCCTACACCTATAGGTCTTGTACAAAAGGACAAGAAGAACATGCCTATCCTAACTATAGGCGAGCTGTTCTCTATATATATTAGTAAGTCAGGCCTTTATTAGGCCTAACTTAGCATAGAATAATAGGTAGGCAATTCTACCTTATTATTACACTACCCCCTCCTATAGAGAAAGGATAGTCCCTATCCTTAGGATTAGGTTTAGATCCCTCATTAAAGAAGAGCTTTTTGCAAAATAATTCCACCTTTACCTCTGCCTTTACCTTCACTTCTTCTTCCTAGGGCACGGACCCCTATCCCCAGCCTGCATATAACTAGCCCTCTACCCACTAACTTTCTTATTCCTATATCCCTAATTTTTTAAATATTTAACCTAATCTATCTAAAATCTAGTAAGTATTTAATCTATATAATTAAATAGTTACTAATCTAAATTAGAACCTTTAGCTATGCTAGTACTAGTACTACTAGGAGCTCTCCCTATTGCTTATCGCGCTCTCTATATAAGGGTAGTTAGGGCTCTAGCTAGAGGCAGGTTTAATAATTTTAATTTTAAGTTAAAGAATTCTAAGAAGTGCTAGTACTATATCTCCTAGAATAAGTATTACAATCTAGTAAGTATCTAAGTCTAATAGGGTTCCTTTACTAATTCTAGCAGATTCCTTCTTTTATTAGCTAAGAGTACTCTGCCCTTAGGGGTGCCCTAGAAGAGTACTATAGCCTAATAGGAAACCCTGCTAAAGGGGATAAGGATAACAAGGCTATAGTTACTTATTAGAAGGATGTTAAGTAGTTTGAGGCTACTATTTAAGAAACCGCCTAAAACCTTGCTAAGTATATTACTATTACTAATACTTAGACTAAGGGTATAGAAGCTACTAAGATCCTTATAGCTATATATTATACTACTATATCTAATTTATATTAGCTTTAGAATAGTATCTATAAGATAGTCTTAGTAGTTAGGGGCTTAATAAGGGCTATTAAAGAACTTAAGGAGGAATTAGCGCTAAATTAGGAGGTAACCTTTTTAGTGTAGGCTAAGATAAAGGCGTTTTACAAGAAGGAATCTAAATTAGTCCTAGCTCCTATCCCTGCTCCCGCACCTGCTACACTAGTTATCTAGAAGCTAGCAAAGAAGGATAGTCTAGGTGCTATCTTAGCTAATATAGAGTCTAAACTAGGTTCTAATAGAGAGATAGATATAGAATAAAGAGGTTTCCTAGGGGTAGTGTCCTAGGAACCTTAAAGGATCTAAATAGGATATAATAATAAATAGTAATAAGAATAATAGTAATAGATAGTAGTTAATAAATAATACGTAGCTAAATAGGATATAAATTAGTTCTAATATTAGGTATAATTATTATAAAGTAATATTAGATCCTCTTTGCCTTTTTCCTAGGCTTAAATCTATTTTAGTAAGCTGCGTAGGGGACCTAGCTAATTTAGATACTATTAGTAGAATACCTATAATTTATAGGGAGCACCTATAAAGTTAGAGGTAGGATACTAAACAGGATTAGGATTGTGTCTAACCTACTTAACCTTATATTTTAGCTTAGATTAATATAATTTGCTAGCTAGGATTTCTTTTACCTCTTATTCCTCTACACCTTATATAGGGGTACTAGGGGGTTTTAGAGCCTCTTATCTAGGTAATAGGTCTTAGGGATCTTTATATAGTATATTAGGAGAAAAAACGTTATAGATCTTAGAACTAGGTAGTAATTAGAGGTAATACGCGTTTCCTACTTATCCTAATACCTTAAAGGGGCCTTCCTATTATTTAGATAGTTTTTAGCTAGGTTATAAAATAGCAAGATTAGTAGTAGATAGATAAATATAGTTACTAACCTTCTAGTTAACTAGATAGTAATAGCAATTATTAGTAGAGCGTATTTAGTCTTAAGCTCTTTCTATATTTTCTTTAGTAATCTTCTAGGCGTTATACATCTAAGTAGCAAGGGATAAGGCGTCCTTATAGTTTAGTTTCTCTAGTATAGTAGATAGGGTCTTTTCTAGTTTCTAATACTAACTTTACTTTAGTAAGGAACTAAAGAGGAGCTAATATAGGGCTATACTAATAGATAAATATAGGAGAGTACTTTAGGCACAGTCTATTATAGGTAGTAAGTTACTCTAGTTATCTTAGTAATAAGATATAAAAGGCCTTAGTCTCTAATTAATATACTTGTTTATAATCTTAGTTTATCTATTAGTTTATTTATAGTAGGTAGTAAAGAGCTTAACTTTAGTGCCTATAATCTAATAGAATTTAGACTAGAAACTAGATACAAACTAAGAGCCTTAATTAGAAATAATAGTATCTAGAGTGTGTCTAAATTAGTACACCTACTAAACAAATAAGGTAGCTATACCTTAGGCGTCTATAGTTTTATAGTAAGGGATAGTAATAGCTTGCTTTAATAGGTAATTAATAATAACTATAATCTAATTATAACTACGTTAATCCTAGGGAAAATCCTTAAAATTAATACACAAGTGTTGCATTAGTAGACTAGGGATAGGAAGGGGCTAGAGCATGCTAGGGAGTTAGTGCTATCTTAGGTGCCCTCTCCTATATAGGATATAGTTCTAAACGTAGCATTTATAGGTAGTCTTTATACCTTTCTAGTAGTAATATTAGGCTAGAATCTAATAGGTTTTAGTAGCTAATAGGTAGGTAGTAGATACTTAATTATAAGCCTTATAAATTAGTCTAGTATATAGGACTAATCTAGTAGGCACGCAAAGTTAATCCTAGTAGAGAAGGAGTCTATTTTCTATCTAATAGTGCTTAGGCAACTCTAATCTTTCTATTAGGAATAAGGACCTATTTTCTTAGAGAAGAGTTTTAATAAGTTCTAGGGATCTAAGAGTTATAGGGTTCTAAACTGCTATAATTAAAGCAAGGATTAGTAAGGAACGCTTAGCTAGGTAGTCTTGCGCTAAGTTAGAGTTAATTTAGGGGTATAACCTATCTAGGGCGATTATTACTTATAAATAATTATCCCTCTAAGTAGCCTTAAGGTTAACTATATCCTGTTCCCTTCTACTTAGGATATTAGCCTAGGCGTTATAAGATCCAGGAGTATACTTAATTTAGAAGTTAAAGGGACTTATAACCTCTAGCTATCTAGCTTGCCTAGCACTAAGGACTTTAGTAGATATAAAGTACTCTAGTGCTCTATAGTCTATATATACTCTAATAAGGTGCTAAGTACTTATTAGGTTAGCACGCTATTTCTTAAAGGCGTAGATTATTGCAAATAATTCTTTATTATAGATTTCCTAGTTAAGTTTAGAACTAGTAAGGGTCTAACTAAAGAAGGATATAGGGTACTATTTCCTATTAGGATGCTCCTGTAAGAGGATAGCTGCAATAACTCTATTAGAGGCGTCTGTCTCTAGTTTTAGAGGGTACTTAGGATAGAAGTAAGCTAAGCTTAGGATTGCTAGCAGGGCATTCCTAAGCTAGTTAAAGGCTTGTTAGTATTCTAAAGTCTATACAAATAGGGTAGCAGGACTCTAGAGAGTAGTTAAGGGCTTAGCTATCTTAGAGAAGTTTTCTATAAATTGCTAGTAGAATCTAGTAAATCCTAGGAAGGACTTTACTCTAGTTATTATCTTAGGAGCAGACTAGTTTTAGAGTACTTTAACTTTATTAGGGTCTACCTCTAAGCCTTTATTAGTTAGGATTTATCTAAGGTAATAGGTACAGGTTATATAGAATTCGCTTTTCTTAATATTAGCCTATAATCTAGTAGAATAAAGACGCTTAAGGACTTTTTAAATATAGTCCTTATAAGTAGCAAGGT